TTTCGGTGTGGGCGCTAGCGACGTGCGGAAAAAAGAGAACCGCGTCGACGTGCATGGTTTTCTCGCTACTTCCAGTCTTCTTGCAGACCGAGTTCGGGTTCTCCAACACGCGTATCGGCGCCGTCGAGGGCTTCGCCCTCTTTGTCTCTAATTTTAGCAGAGTTTTTTCCGGTGTCCTCTCAGATATCTTGAAGTCTCGAGTCAAGGTGATCGCGGTCGGTTCAGTGATGACTGCGGCGATGAAGGTCACCTTAGCATCGGCGGTGAGCGTCCAACAAGTGGTCATCGGGAAGCTTTTGGATAGATTCGGCAAGGGCATACGGGCGGCTCCGACAGATGCGCTCATCGCGGATTTGTCACCGCGTCCGAAGCGTTCTGCCACGTACGGATTGCATCAGTCGATGACAACACTCGGAGGCGTCGTGGGTTCGCTCGTAGCGATGACAACCATGAAGGCGACGTCTAATAATTTCAGAGCGACATTCACTCTGGCGTCGATTCCTTCAATCATCGCGATATTCATTCTCATGAAAGCTGTGCGAAAGCCGAAGCGTATGATGAGCAAACCTAAGTACAAGCCGCTCATGTTACCGGGTAGAGGTCGCGCACTGCCGTCGTGGAAGCGTCACACGCGCGGTCCTCTCGCTATGCCGCACTTGCGTTCACGTTGGCGTCGAGCCGCATGCACGTCCAACGTCAGGGAAATCGTGTGGCACCGTGGGCAAAAGACGTGGAAGACCGTTCGCGATTGGCTCTGGCAAATGAAGAGCCGCTCGAAAATGGTGTCGCCGTTCTTGGATCAAATTATGGAAGGCTTCGAGGACTCGAAGGACGTCCTCGGAAACGAAGGAACGGTGCGCATCGTCAAGGCGAGCAAGCGCAAATCCAGATGGCTCCGTCGAGCTGATGGTGGAGAGATGACTCAGGACGATTTGCGAACGCGAGCTTTGATTTGGGCCGACGATCCGTGGGCCGAGGCGCAACAGCAAGGCGGTCCGCGGTCCAAGCCCAACGCCTCGAGCTTCATGTGGGGCGAGTGGAACTGGTCTCTCACGGAGGTCGCCCAACTCCCGTGGGCATTTTGGCGCGCCTTGCTCGTGTTCTCCATCCTCAAGGTCGCTCGCTTCAGCGAGGCGTTCGTGACACTCCACGCCAAGGCTGTGGGTATGCAAGTAGCCTATCTCCCCGTGCTCATGTTCGCCACGAACATCATGCAATCGGCCCTGACATATCCACTCGGCATTTACGCCGACGAGGCGGATCAACAGGGCGATGACGGTCGTAAGAACATGCTCCTCGGCGGCTTCGCGCTCATGGTCGTCGCAGACGTCATTTTGATCATGGCGAACGTCCCCTGGATGGTCTTCGCCGGCTACCTCGTCGTCGGCATACACATGTCCATGACCCAAGGTAACATGAAGGCTGTCCTGAGCGCGACGATGCCGCCGAATGTGAGAGGAACCGGTTTCGCCATCGCCGCCATGTCCCAAGGGCTGTCGCTGGGATTCGGGAACTACATGGCGGGATACCTGTGCGATCAGCTCGGATCGGCCGGCGCCTTCTACGGCGGTGGCGTGTTCGCCCTCCTCGCCCTAGCCGTCGGTTGGCTCTTGCTCTAATGTAAAACACAAAACCCAGCGAACACGCGCAGTGAGGAGAAAAAATACGTCGTCCAGAAATCCCCATATTTAGCAGTTTCCAGGGTTCACGACTCGTAATCGACCCCCTCCGTGATCCATCGCCAGGGCTACGTCGGCGTCGCGCGCCCGCGCGTGACGTCCCGCACACGCCGACGCGGTCTCGCGACGACGACGATGATCGCCCAAGCGAACGCGCTTACGATGCGCGCGAACGTGTGCGCTCGACCGAGCGCGCTGACGACGCAAAACGCTCCGAACGCGCACAAGTCCAGAGGCTTCCTCCAAGTCGTCGGCGCGGCGACCAAGGAAAAGAAGAACCGAGACCTCGAGCGACTTCGCACCTTGGCGAACGCCGAGGAGACTTTCCTCGTCGCCGGGTTCAACTACAAGGGGTTGACGGTACGTTTTATTCTCACGTAGATGCGACCGCGCGAAGACCAGAGGGGATGACGAGCGCTCGAGCGCGCGCGATTCCCACCAAGGAGCACGCACCCTCGGGCGGCTGCGTACCAGCGTGACCCGTCGTCGATTAGGCGTTCGTGACGGGCGCGCGCGTCGTTTTCACGCAATGACACGCGCGCTGGACGAGGGAAAAATCACTCGCCGATGCTTGCGCGTCGAGGCGATGCGCGACATCGAGGCGTCGTCGCCCGGGGGTGGAATCGCACCCGTTGGCGTGAAAAGGGTTTTAGGGCTCAGGGGACTCTCGAGCAGAGGAACGGAGAACTCTTCGGGGATCGATGCGCGTTAAAGCGCGGTGACTGACCTCGAACGCGCGCCTTTCGTCACCTTAACAGGTTAAGGATATGATTGCTTTCCGACGCGCGATGCCGGAGGGTGCGCACATCATGATCGCCAAGAACACGCTCTTGCGCAAGGCGGTCGAGGGGACCGCGTTCGAGCCCATCACGGAGGCGTCGACGGGCATGAACGCGTGGGTCTTCGTCGATGAGAACGTCGCGCCGACCATGAAGGCCGTGAAAACGCTCACGAAGGCTTGGAAGAAGGATGGCAAGGAGGTTGCCTTCACGGGTGCGTGCATGGATGGTCAGTTCATTGCCGCAAACAAGATGGAGCCCCTCGAGAGCTTGCCGACGAAGCTCGACCTCATCACCCAGATTGCGGTGGGCATCAAGCAAGTGCCCACCAAGCTCGCGCGCGGTACCAAGGGCACCGCGAGCAAGCTTGGCTACGCGGCGCGGGCGATCGCCGACGGCGAGAGCTCCATCATCTCTGCGTAAAGCAATTAGTGATTTTATGGGGTGGACGCGAGCGAGCCGGCGAGCTTGCGCTTTAGCAACTGTGTAACCAAATTGGCAGACGATTCAATCAAAACATCGCGCGCTATGTCTATCAGCCTATTTCCATCACACCCTAATCACATGAACGGCGGAGGCGTCGGACGCTTGCGCGAGACGTATCGCGAGACAAAGTTTTCGAGCGTCGTAGCCACCGCATCCGGGTCGTCCTCCTGAACGCAGTGTCCAGCCTTGCAAACGGTCATCTGGAATCGCCCTTGCATCTGTGCGATTGTGAGTTCGGTGTCCAATCGATCGTTACCCGCGAGTAAAAGCAGCTTGGGCGCCTTGACGGCGAGAAATTTCCCCGAGAGCCCTCGATACCACGACGTCCAAAACGGCGCGGTGGCTCTCAGGTCCGTGATCCACACGTACTTTGACGACCCGTCCGCGGCAACGACTTTGCGCAATTGCGACGGGAGTGACACCGATGCTGATCGCGTGTTCGTTGTACCGCCGCCGCGACTGGACGACCACCGCATTGCGTCTTCCAGAGTGGCGAACTCGCTTGGACGCGAGTCGACGAGCACGCCCATAGCCGGGAGCGCGCTCAGAGCGCTCCCCTCCACGATGTCCACGAGCACTAAACCCGCGAGCTCGGCGGGATAGCTCGATGAAGACTCGCGATTTGCGTTCTCGATGAGCGCCGCACACCTCACCGCGATGGCTCCGCCCATGCTGTGTCCGATGACGACGACGCGTCTCTTGCTTCGAGTGAGAAACGCTCCGAGCGTCTCGAACGCGTCGAGCGCCATGACGTCCGGATCGAACGTCGCGCCGTTGTCACCCCTGTCGTCCCCGAGACCTCCGTCGCTCTCACCGTGACCCCGCAGATCCATCGCGATTGCGTCCACGGACGCCGCGACGGACGTTCCGTCCTCCGCGGCGCGTCTCGCGATTTCCTCAACCGTCGGCGCCCACGTGAGCGCCGTGTACGGACACCCGTGTAACATAAACAACACCGCGCGCGTCTCGAACTCGTCGCCGTCTAAATCGTCGTCAAAACTACCTCGCGAGTACACCTTGAACCTCCCGCCGTTCGCCCGAATGAACGTCGCGCGCGAGAAACTTTCTCGCCAGTCCCGAGGCGCCGCCGCGGACGCCGCCGCATCGCCGTCCACGCGAACGCCCGCGTGCCACCTCTCCCGATCGTCCTCGCGCGCGCGCGCGCCCGCGGGCGGTCTCGTCTTCGTCTCCACCGTCGTCTCCGTCGTCGACGCGACGGTCGACCGAATCGTCCTCTCGCCCGTCGGTCGCATCGTCGACGACACCGCGACGCGCGGCGCGACGGTCCACATCGGGTTTGCGTCGCGCGCGCGCGTCGACGACGTCGCGTCGTCCTCGTCGGCGCGCATCGACGCGCTCGGGCGCGCGCGAGTGCGGTGATGTGCGGCGCACTGGAGGGACTCGTGTTGAGTCATGACTCGTTGTATTTTACGAGGCAAACAACTCCAACGTGCGACGGTTCGCGTTGACCGCGCGACGGTTGAACTTCACCCGTCGACGCGCGCGCGCGCGCGCGCGCGGGCGGTCGATGGAGACGGTGCGGACGAGTGATTTTTTTCCCTCGGACCCGTCGTCCGCGTCCGCGTCCGCGTCGGCGGCGTCGGCGTCGGCGAGGAGGAGGAGGCACGGCGCGGTGACGCGCGCACGCGATGCGGGCGACGCGAACGATGGGTCGTCCGTTTCGACGCGAGCTATGGCGTCGTTGGAGCGAGCGATGGGACGATTGACGCGAGAAATGGCGATGCGATCGACCTCGAGGCGTCGATGTCGATCGAGGACGAGGAGCGGTCGGTCGGAAGTGTGGGACGAGGAGGAAGAAGACGCGATGACGCGCGGATGTCCATCGACGAGCGACGCGAGCGCGTCGAGATGGACGAAGAGACTCGAGGTGAAGTGCGCGAGGCTAGAGTCGACGGTGGCGACGCTTCGAAGAGCGCTCGCGGAGCGCCGGGAGGACGCGGTGACGCGCGACGTGTTCACCAAGGAAATCGTCTCTCTCAGGAGACGGCTGCGAGAGAGAGACGCCGAACGCGAGCGGTTGATTCAGATGAGCAACGATTTACGCGCGGCACTTCGAAAGAAATTGAACGTCGCCTCATCGCCATCACCATCGCCGACACCGCCGCCGTCATCTTCACCGCTTCGCGAGACGAAGCTCGAGTCGGTCAGAGCGGGGCGGATCGTCGTGGCGTCGACGTCGAGCGAGCGTGAGACGGAGAGTCAGAAAATGAAACTAAAGTCCGCGATGCGCCGAGCGAAGGAGTCGCGACGCGGTTCGAACGGAAGCGCGCGCGTTCGTCACTGGGGATGCGAGACCTAGCTCACTCGCACGTCGGTGGCCTTGTGTAGTTTCAAACCCAATCAACTGTGTCTCCCTTCATGTCCCACTCTTTCGAACACCACGCCCGGCTCGCGGGAAGTTCACTTTTATTTCTCCCTCTGTGCGTGAGTACAATAATAATATGCATGAATACAATGATTACTGGTTCGGGTAAAGTCCGTTAGTAAAGCACGAGAAACCCAGCAAGGAGAGCGGCAAAGGTGAAGGTATGCGTGAGACGACTCGCACCGCTCGGCGGCGGTGTCGGCGGCGGTGGACTCGGCGTGTGGCTCGTCCCGTTCAGGTTGATGTACGATTTCGTGCTCATTTCCGCCACGGGCGGCGCGACCAACGTCTTCATCTCTCTCGCGTAATCGATCATGGTCTGCGCGTATTCCATGTACGTGTCCGCATAGGTTCCAGCCACGGAACTTTTGGCGAATGTCACGTACCCGTCCTTTCCGGCAGCGATGTAGTTGTTAGTTGCGACTTCGTACGTCGCGGACGTGTCGATATTGGACCAGCTCCCGGCGAGACGCGAGTTGATCTCCACGTTCAAGACGCGAGAACCTTTCGCCTTGGACATATCAACGTCCATGCGCAAGCCAGCGACGTACGGGTACGCACCCGTGGACGGGTCGGCTCCATCATGCGATGACGACAGAGCGTCTTCCAGTACGGCTTTGATCTCCGCGCCGGTCATCTTCAGCGTCACAATGGTGTTGCTGAAGGGAAGCATGGTGTAACCGTCGTTGATCGTGAAGTCGCCTTTCGCGATGTCCACCCTGCATCCCCCACCGTTCTGAATCGCGATATCCGCTGTCTTCGTGCGGTGCAGGAAACCCTTCGCGACGAGTTGGCACGCCGCGCCTCCGTGTTTGTACGACGCGGAGACGTTGCACAGCGTAGAACGTCCTTGACCTGGTATGCGTTCGAAGCAGATGTTCTCAGGGACATCCGCCAGCTTGGTGGCTTTAAGAATGGATACCTGGTCCTTGTACACCTTCAGTGACGCCGCGGTGCTTGGATCAGGCGTGGTTTCGTGCCAGTTATCCAGGGTGTTGAGGTACGACACCATCGCTGTTTTCTGTGTCGCGGTGAACGCCGCGTCGTCGGTGGCGTTTTTAAACGTCGTCGAGTCGTACGCGAACTGCGGCTTGCCAGTGCAGCTGGTAACATCACCGTTCGAGTCGAATTCCACTTGGAGCTTCCCGAACGTCCTCGCACCCCACCAAGATTGCACGACGCACACCGTTTTCCCGCTGCCGTTCGTGAGATTGGTGGGGAATGGTCCCTCGGTGCGCGTAGACACGCCGGTCAGGTCGGTGACCTCGCCGAGAAGTGCGTGCGCGTCGCCACCGACGACAACGTCGACGTGGTTCAGGGTCGCCATCCACGTCTTGTCAAGATTGTAGTTTACGTGCGTCAGGAGAATAATCTTATCAACCCCCGAGTTAACGAGTGCATTGATCGCTGCCTGCGCTGCCGCTTCTCCTCTGACACGGTGGTACCCGCGTCGGGGAATGACGACTGTTCGGTTTTCTTTTTGATCGTCACGCCGACCACACCCACGCGTTCGCCGCCCAGAGTGAACGTATACGACTTGTTGTATTTGTTCAGCAGAGGAGACGAGGGACCGGCCACGACGTTCGAGCTAAGCACTTGCGTGCCAGCGGAGCACAGCGTCGCATTGGTCATGTTGCCGATAAAATTCGCCAACGACGCGTCGCCGTCGTCGAACTCGTGGTTCCCGATGGCCATGGCGTGGAAACAAGCGTGCGTCATCATCTTCGCGTCCGCGACGCCTTTGAAGAGCGAGTAATACGAACCACCAGTGATCGCATCTCCCGCGTGAAGCTTCATCACGGATCGAGAAGCACTCACTTCCGCGGTCTCCACCGCATTCATCGCAGCGACTGTCATGGGGAAGCCGCCTACGTCGACGTTAACCTTCTCGCCAGTGGTGGCTTTGGCGGTTGAATCAGACACGGTCAGGTCGAAATCCTTCGCTTCGAGTTGAGAGTGATGGTCGTTCATTGAGAGAATCGTGAGGCTGAGGGCACCCGCGTGGGCACCAACAGTCAAGGAAGCGAAAAGCACGGCCGCAAGGGTGGACTTCATCTCGGGATCGTATCGACTCTGTCGTGGTGATGGGGTCAGTCACCGAAAGGAGTGAAAAGAATAATCTCGTAGACTTCGTCCAACGAAAACACACACTCGCCGAGAGTGGGCTCGGACGGGTCGCAGACGCGTACCTTGCTGCGATAGGTGGACGATGAGAAAAAACGCTGTGCGAACGAGGCCGCCGACGCGGACTAGCAGCGCGTGGCGGAAGCTGCCACATTTGCACGGAATATACCTTCTTTAACAATTTCCGCATATTACGAAGAAAACGCTCGGATAACGCTCGAATGGAATATTTTCACGAGACCATGCCAGACACTGAGTTTCCTGAGACAACCAGGACGTATGTGTGGGGGTAGCTTGCTCGCTCGCGCGTATCGACTTTTTCCCATTGAGCGCACTCTCGATTGCTTGACAACTCACGAAGCACTAGCTAATAGCTACGGTAGAACGATAGAGTGGGCGATGTCATGGAGCCGGTTCGTCCCGTCATCATTTCGCGGCGGTCGCCGCGGTCGCGACGTCCTTGGCGATATCGCCCGCGGTTCCATGCGTGGGTTGCATCGACGGCGCCGTCATCTGCGGCGGCATCATCCCGCTCATCATCGCCATCATCATCGGGTGAGCTCGCGGATCCATCATGCTCGGCGGCATTCCGGTGGTGTCCTTTGCCCCACTCTGAACTCCCGGCGTGAAGGGCATCGGCGGAAAAAACATATTCGATGACACGCCTCCGGTCCCACCCGTGGCCGCGACTCCGTCATGGCCGCCCTGAGCGGGCGGACCAAACCCCGGAGGAGCTCCAAACATCGGAAACGCCGCGGCGTATTGCATCATCATGTTTATGAACTGCACCTGTTGCATGTCGGGCGCTCCCCCGCCCGGTTGTCCAGACATCATCGCCGCCATCGCGTGCGGGGTGACGAATGGAAGCCCGCTCGCCGCGCCGAATACCCCTACTCCCGAAGTTCCAGCCTCTTGCGCGTGTGCCATGAGCGCTCCGACGTCCGAAGGCGACGGTGCGTTCCCAATGCTCCCACTGAGGTGCGCCGCAAGCTCTTGATGCACCAGCGTCTGCTGTTTCGCCGCCTGCTGCGTCAAATCGATGAAATGCGCGATGTACACGTGCAACGCCGAGTTTTGGAACGGCTTCCCGCGAGGCACGAAGCTCACGCCATAGCGATTCACCGCACTCGCCCCGTACTGAGCGCTGTAATCAACGGGACCGGAAATTGGTGCGCCCACGCCATAGGCTAATTCGTACCCGGCCACCGTGTTCGAAACGCCGCCCATGTCCCCTATCGTCGGCGGAATCGTCACCGTGTTCACGCCAGACGTCGTCTTCTCCTGCGCGACATTCGTCACCGTTCGCTTCTTCGGCCTCTTCGACGCGTTCTTCTTAGTCCCCCCACCCGTGTCAACGTCTGCGGCGAGCGTGGCGAGGTTGAACAACGCCTCGGCGATTTCTCTCTCATTCTTACTAGGCCGAATTCGCGGTTTTGTCGCAGCCGGTTTATTATCCTCGCTCGGTGAGTCCGATCGTGGGCCCTTTCGCTTCTCACCGTTCGATTGCTCGTTCTCGTTCCTCTTCATCGCACCTGGATTCTTCCGTTCGCCCGCGTCTGAGGCGCCACCCGCGTTCCCATTCGCCTCATCCTTCACATCCGCGCTCCTGACGCCCCCCAAGTCCGTCGTCGGATTCTGTCGCACACGCCGTCGCGTCGCTGAGATACATAATCGATCGCGATGTGTTTTCGTCAGTCATCGCGTCTCGATGAACACGCTGCGTTTACGAATCGACCGGGCCGTCAAAGTCTCGACATCGTCGTCGAGCCACGGCGATTGCCATTTTCAACAAAGTCTGACTTGAACGCTCGGCTCATCGGCTCACGGAAACCACCCACTCGCGGCGACGGAGGACGCGTGATCGTTCGATCCGTCGCAAAAAATCGAAGAGTACAAATTCCTCTCGATATTTTCACGCTTTCGTCGACCGCGCGAACACCTCGCATCGCCATCGTTCGTTTCGTTCTCGCGACGCTCGCGTGACCTCGCGGTCGTTCGGTCGTTCGGTCGTTCGGTCGTTCGCGTTCGCGCGTACCCGTTCTCGCCCGTCTCGGTATCGTCACCGCGGCGTCGACGGTGCCTTTATCTTCACCGTCGTCCCCTCTCTCGCTCGCCCGCGTCGTTCGCGGCGTCGTCGTCACCGTCACCGTCGCCGTCGTCGTCGCGTTCCGCCCGCTCGACCTTCGCGGCACTGTCGTCGTCTTCGCCTCCGTCGCGTTCTCCCCGACCGTCGACGCGCGCTGCGCGCGAGAGCGATGAAATGTCAGCGTGAAAGTTTTACCCACGCGCGCATCGACCGCGATCGACGACGCGCGCGCGGCGAGGCGTCAACGAATCGATCGACGCGCCCGCGCGCCCGCGCGACGATCCTCCGCGCGCGCGCCCGCGCATCGCGACGCGACGAAGCGATGTATGCGACGTATCGAACGACGCACCGATGCCTCTCGCGCGGGCATCACCCTCGAAATCTCAGTCGTCCTCTCGCGGGAATCGGTGACGTCGCGCGCGCGACGCGACGCGACGCGACGGATTCGCGACGCATCAATCGCCCGCGCGATCGCGATCGCGTCCCGCGCGTGGGGGTCGGTGTCGAGTCATGACCCGTCGTCGAACGCGTGAAAAAGCACGCGAGGGCGAAAAAGCCTCGAGGGCGCGCGCGACACGTCATCGAGAGATCGCGCGTGGGTGACGTCGTGATGTCTAGGTTGGTGGCATCACGATCTATGAGTCGTGGTCGTGATGCTGGTTTGAATCACGATGTCGTGATGCACATCGTGATACCATATTGAGGGCACTTAAAGCCTATCATTTACTGATATTGACAGGTATACCTCACTGATACGCATCACGTGACTGCTAGTACGACATTTTGGCACCGGTGTCGAGGAAATACAGCGATGATATAAGTAAAATGTGTCACTGTTCTAACCCTAGCACCCCGCGTCGAAACGGTTGGTGAAAGCTTGAACAGTGGTGCAGGCCATGTGTCACATAGTATACCTCTATTTCATCTATCATGTAATTTTTTATGTAAATTCGGACAATCGGACAATTTCCTCCAAGTTGGCATCACGACGTGACAGTCGTGATGCTGACGCCCATCACGATGTTTCGGTGTCGTGATGCAGCTCGTGATGCCGATTTTACCCAACCTAGGTACTCTACTCTATGAAATGAACCGCGGCTACGTAATGATTAAAAGCTTGACGCAAGTATTGAATCACGACGTCATCTTGAACAACCCACCGCGCGAGTCTCGTAAATGCCTCTGCCGTATCCACCGCGCGCACTGGATCACGGATTAGCGAATCACGTATTCGACGCGAGGTGTTCAACACGTCGCTGGGGTCCACGGCAAAGCAAAATTCATCATTTTGAACACCCTCGGCAAACCAGTCGGTGAAGACGTTGACGCGCACCATGACCGCCCCAGCCTCCGCTATGAGCAACTGCCTGTTAAAAGAGTGCGCGTTGCCATCGATATCCATAATCGCTTTAAAGTTGCAGAAATCCCCGCCAGACATTTTGTCTTTGAACAATCGCGGAGCCCACGATTGTTGAAAGCCTTGAATCGCCACAGTGAATCCAACGTCGAATCCCGGCTCATCGATCAACTTTCCCATCGTCCGTGCTCTCAGGTTAGTTGTCGCGTCGCCGAAACCAGTGGTGGATCCTCGAAATATGATATCATTTGACCGGTTCATCCAACGCGACTGACACGCTTCTCGAGCCGCGCTCTTCTCCCGAAGATGGACGAAATAGTCGGGAAACGGAAATAGAAGATCCGTGTGACATCCACGAACTTTCGACATGCTCCACACGGGCACTTTCTCGTATGATGAAATCACGCCTTCGACGACGTTCGCGTGCAGTTGACGCAGGAGGTCGATTTTATCTACACATCCTTCACCCACCGCTTGTGGCTCGTCGAAATTATTTATGAGGAAGTAAGCCTCGTGGAACGTGTCTGGGAAGTCGACCGTGATGACTTCGAGGTGTTCCTTGACGAATGCGTGGAAATCGTTGGTTGACCAAAACGTCGCTGGACCCGCGACGTGACTCCACGTGAATTTATTTCCATCGTCCCTAGACAGTAGATATAACGAAAGTTTTGGAATCGAACGCGCCACAAGTGCTTCTAATTTTGCCTTCTGCACGACAGCTCCGTCAAAATGAGCAATATCACCGAGTTGACTTTTGAAGAAAGCTTTGAAGAAAGTCTCCGTTTGATTCTGCTTTAAAGCCTCTTCGAAAAGCGCACGTGTTGGTTGGAGCGAATCGATCTTCCCTGCCGATGTATCAGCGACACGTGGAGAACCCCTTGTGACCCGGTCACCAACGGCTTCGCTCGTGGCGTCACCACCAAGAAACGTGGGTTCGTCTGACGAAATCTTCTCTGGGACAACCCGGTTTTCCCGACCGTACACCATCGCGCATACGACCAGAACGGCCAGAGCGAACCGCGCTAAGAATCGTCGACGCAGTTTTACCGCCGTGCGACGCTTCATTTGAGTCGACCGCCCTCGCTCAACAACTACACGCTCTGTTTCGACGTTTTCTCAGTGCTGATCGTGCGCTCAGTGCACGCCCTCGGGGTGCTTAACATCGCTATCCATCGGCACATGTACCATTCGCCGCACTCGAGAGCTCGAAGTGGGGGACGTGTCGGTGAGTGAGTTGGATAATGGCTCCTGTGAGAAAGATCGTCACTTGCTGGCGGGCACATTCGTTCGATCCACAGGGACAGCGTGCGTGTGTGAACAAGAAGAGAGCGTTGTCTGAGTGATGAGAACGACGATGGGCATAAGCTCTATTCGGTCCTAGAAGAAAGCCACACGCGAGCGTTGGTACGGCGTGACAAACAACTTTGGAACACGGTCACAGTTGGCAACATGGAGGCAAAGCCTCGTAAGACGCGACGAGTGGCGACATTCGCAGTCTTTTCACTCATGGCCCTAGCCTCAGTGAATATTGCGGGTCGCTCAAGAACGTTCGTGTCGAAAGGACGGCATATTCGACCGGCAGAGGCGACGCGCACGCAACTTGACGAGCAAGTGCCCGCTGAGGCTGACGTTGTTTTCTTCGCATTCAGCGATCGGGTCTTGGACGGACTGTGCGCCTCGATAGAATAGGGATGATGCGATCGTTGTTCTCGCGGACGCGAGTGATGTGATTTACATGCAAGGAACACCGCAGCGCGTACTAGACGAGTATCACGCTTTGAGCAAGAAACTCGTACCCAGAGGTAAAGCGCTCATTCTCTTCTCCGCCGAAGGTAACTGCTGGCCGCACATGGCTGGTGATCAAGAACTCATCGATGGAGGTCGCGAATACTGCGCAAAATTTCATGACAAAGCTAAAGGATCGAGCAACAAATATTTGAATAGTGGTGGAGTCATTGGGCCCGTCTCTGCGTTGGCTGAAATGTATCAAGAAATTCGATCGTTGATGAAAACCGTGGACGACGAGGATCAGATGATTACCGCATCCGTGTACGCTAAGCAAATAGATGACGAACGCTCTGGGACCCACTCAAAAAGATACGTCATCGCTCTTGATCACGAAGCGCGTGTGTTCCAAACTGGTTGGCACACGCATTTGGAAATTACAGGCAAGTACGCTGAGCCTCAAGTGAACGGCGCATATTTTGACACCTCGCTGGGCGTCTTCGTGAATACCGAGCACAACTCCACTCCACCAATCGCACATTTCAATGGAGGAAAAACGAATCTTCTTCCTGTGGTGCGTGAGATTTTGCGCCGTAGACGAATGGGTGACGCGACGTATGAAACGACACTGCGAAGTATTCGCGAACGAGAACCAGTGCTCGCTCGAAACTGTACGGTTATCGACGACACTTTCCGAGCACCTAGCTGATCGCGTGCATGCGACGCACCGCGCACATCAATAGGAACATGACGTCACCTCGTAGATTTTTAGCGTTACAGGGAAACATCTCATACATTCGCGATTAGCCGAGGAAGTCGCGCGCTCGTTCTCGACGGAAGGAGTGGGAAATATCGCACGTCGAGGCCACGCGGTCCGAATGTCCGAATTTAATTAAAAAAAAACAGGATAGGTAAATCAGGTACATACTATGTAATTTGCTACCGCATCGACCTCCACCGTCGGTCCCGCGCGCGGCGCGAAGGATCGATTCGTTGCGTTCGCCTCCGTCGCGTGATTCCTCGTCGGTGCGGTCGCGTCACACGTCGTCGACGACGACGATAGCGACAGCGCACGCGCGTCGATCGTCCCGGGCGAGCGAACGCGCGGAACGGAGGCACGAAAAGCAAGGAGGCGTGCGGCGGTCCGAAGCTCCGGTAGGTTTCTCGCTCGAATCGAATCACGCGCGCGGGGTGTTCGGTGATGGAGGAGGCGAACGAGCGAGAGGAGAATGAGTTCACCACCGGTCCACTGAGCGTGTTGACCGCGAGCGTGAAGGCGAACACGCAGGTGCTGATAAACTGTAGGAACAATCGTAAGCTCCTCGCCAGGGTGAAGGCGTTCGACCGACACTGTAACATGGTTTTGGAAAACGTCAAGGAGATCTGGACCGAGGTTCCGAAGACTGGCAAGGGGAGCGCGAAGGCGAAACCGGTGAATAAGGATCGGTTCGTGAGCAAGATGTTCCTGCGGGGGGACTCCGTGATCCTGGTTTTGAGAAATCCCAAGTAGGAGTTTGAGGACGAGGCGCGGGTGAAGCGCGGAGTTCGATGTAGTTGTGATGAAACGATAACGATAGCTGAGTGAACAAAATGATCTAATCAATCGTCTAATAACCCTTGACGACTCACTGCGCGTTCGGGTTGATCTGCCTTACGAGCATGGCGTCCATGAAGCGCGGGCACAGAGACGTGAGCGGAGGCAACTCGTGCGAAGGCGCTTCGAAGAGCGCGCCCCAAGGCATCTTACCCACGCCATTCAGCGCACCACCGATGACGCGATCTCGCTCGGGAACGTCCTCCTCGTCCTCGCCCTCGGCGTTCAATCGCATCGCTCGGACGCTCGCCTCGGCTTCTTTGAGGACTCGCGCGAGTTCTGGATTCACCGGAGCACCGACGACGGCGACCCCGCCCGGGAAACTCTTCGTCACAGCGGGCGCGTCGACGTCCATGTCATCGCGCGCCCTGGCTTCAGCGTTAGTTTCCGCTCCTATGCGGACGATCTGCCTGTCTCGAGTGACGATGAGCATGGGTGTCGTCGCCGCCGATGCGTCGCGGCTGGCTCGATCTGCGGGAGGGAAGAGTACGGCTTCTGGCGCGCCATCGGGACACGCGAACGTCCCCGACGGCATCATATCGGCGCCGATGAAGCGCACGACGACTGCAATTTCCTTTTGATCCTTTCGCTCGGCGAATACGGCGGCGAACATCGGCATAGAGGCGTGGGCATACAGCCCGACACACGGCGCCGCGTACACGCGCCACGGTTGCAACGTTTGCAAGTTCCAAATCACGAGCGCCTTACCGTCGGCGGCAGCGAACAAAGGGTGACCCGCGATGAAAGCTACGGCTTTAACAGACGCGCACTCGCCCTCTCCTGAGGTTTTGGGCATCGTCAGCGTCGCGAGCTTGGCGTTCGTCTTTGGATCCCAGAGCACGATTTCTCTCGCCGCTGTGGCAAGAATCGAGCCGTCGGCGCTAAACGCCCCGCACGTCACGCCGGTCCCGCTCGGATGCGTCGCGCTTGATCTACACCTCCAGCCGGCGTGCTCGCCACCGCGCGAAACGCGTCCGTTCGGGACCCAAAATTTCACCTCACCCTCGGCTCCCGCGGTGAACGCCATGGACTCTGTGACGCTCCTCGCGCTCGGTCGAACGCCGACGCACGTGATCAAGCCCGTATGCGGGATATCGCACTGCGCCACGCACGTGAACGCACCACCCGGAACGTTCACCGATCCGGTTGCGTCGTCTTCCTCGCCCTCGCCCTCACCCTCGCGGTCATCGTCAACATGGAGACGTTCCCAAATTTTCAGCGTCTCCTCCACCGCGCGCGTCACCGTCGACGGTTGATCGCTGCGGCGATCGACCGTGAGAAGAACACGGCCATCCGGTGAGAAAGAGGCGTGTGCCACGTGCGCTTCCATCGGTGAGTCCGCCTCTCCTGAGGTGTTGACGTAATTTCTAGGCGCCACGGCGAGATCAGCGATGTGCTCGTCACGGGCGTGATCGAAAAACTGCAGCGCCGCGCCCGCGGCGGAAAACGCGACGACCTCCGCCCTCGGATCGTACGTCACCACCGACGCGTACGATTCGCGATCAAGGTCTAAAACCGTTGGACGGACGCCCTGAATCGTCCCCTCCACGCTCATCGACGCAACGTTTACCAAACGCACGGCGTTGTCGGACCCGAAGAGCGCTAACCTCGACGGGTCGTCGCGTCGAGCGACAATCTTCGTGAGCGGCGCTCCGAGACGCGGGAGATACGTCTTCTTCCCATCCTTCAGGTTCCAAATCACCAGAACAGCCTCTTCGCCTCCCGAGAACAAGTGCGCGCCGTCTGCGGAGAAGTGCAAGCACCCCACCGCGCGAGAGTGCCAGTGCGACGTCGTGCTCGGCAGGGCGTCTCTGTCGACTTCGGTTTCTTCTCCACGCGCCTCCTGTTGTAACTTTCGCACCGCTCGGGCGAAACCGTGGAACATTACGATTCGCCCGCTTGAGTCCCCGCACGCTAAGATTTCATCGTCTCGTGAGAACGCGAGCGCGGTGATGGCTTTGGTGTGATGAATCCGCAGCGCGCGCGAGCTTCCGCCTCCGTCTTTGCCGACGCCCCAGATTGAAATCGTCCGTCGCTCGGCGCACGCGAGGAATCCACCCGACGCGCTCGCGATCAACGCTCGCGCCTCATTCGTCTTCCCGAGCTTCTCGACGATCTTCCCCTTGGACAGACTCACTCGTAATATCCGTCCCCCGCCGTCCTCGCGCGCCGTCGCGCTGACGTAGACGAAATCTCTCCCGCTCGCCCCGCCCGGGTACGCCACGTCAGCGATCGCGAATCCGATGTCGTGCCGCCTCAAAACCCGCATGCGCTCGACATCTATCACCGATAAAATCCCACTCGAGCTCCCGCTCACGATCGTCTTCGCCGTCGTCTCCGGCGAAGCCGCCGCGCACGTCGTCTCCCCGCGCGCCGCCGCCCCTCCCAACGCCCGCCCCGTGGCTCCATCGAACGCGCGCACGGACGCGCGGGCGACGGTGACGAAGACGCGATCGTCGTCACAAAACGCGCCCGAGCGCGCGAACACCGCGCCGCCGGCGGTGACGCGCGCGTCGTCGCTCGCCCTCGAGCCGCCGCCGCGGTCGTCGTCGTCGTCGTCGTCGCGCGCGCGGTTCGCCGCGCGTTCGCTCGGCGTCGACCGCGCGCGCGCCATGGACGACGGCCCGATCGATCGACGCGGTGACGACGCGTCGACGAGCGACGGGCGACGGGCGACGGGCGACGGGCGCGGCCGTCGGGACGAGGATTTGGACTCTGTGGTCTGCACTCCATTCATTGAGTCATGAATCGTCAAGTCGCGCCTCAGGGTGACGCGCTCGACGCGCCCGCACCCCGCGGCGCGTCGTGCGTCGATCGAGCGGGTGACGCGGCCGAGCGCGTCGAGCGCGTCCGAACCCGTCGGCGCGCGCGATCGAATGGCGCGCGATGGCGTCGACGGAGAGAATGACCTCGTGCGGTTGCCCTCGTTTAGAGTTTTGAAGATCGCCAGTTGCGTACTTCTGTTGTTCTTCACCGTGTCGGCGACGATTTTCACGGAAGCGAGCAAGCGCGAAGACGGGACGTACGCGTACGATACGTTTGTGATACCGTGCGTCGTCGAGGCTGTGAAATTGGTCGTGTCTTCCGCGTTGCTCGCGCGCGAACGCGTGGTACACGCGCACTCGCGCGCGCCGTTGGGCTTCACCGTTCGTGGTTTCGCGGCGTACTCTTTTCCGGCGTTGTGTTACTTCGTGAGTAATAACTGCATGTTCTACATCATCCGGTATCTGGGCGCGTCGACGTTCCAAATCATGAACAATCTAAAAGTTCTCAGCACTGGCGTCTTCATGTACGTATTTCTCGATCGAAAATTATCTTGGGCGCAGTGGAAAGCGCTCATCATGCTCGTGATCGGTTGTATGGTGACTCAACTGAACGCGAAAGCGGTCGAAGGAGATGACGCGGAAAATCGGTCGACTTTAGCTGGCTATGCGTTAGTCTTAACGAGCGCCGTCGCGTCCGGCGCGGGTGGCGTCTTCTCAGAGAGATTGTTAAAAGGTAAGGGTGCTGATCAGCAGAAAGCGAACGGGGTGGGAGCTTCGATACACTGGCAGAATATGCAACTCTACGTGTTCGGGTTGTTGTTTGGCGTCATATCGCTGCGCATGGATGCGAAGAAGAGCGCGTCGTCGCCAGGCGGTAACATATTCGACGGATTCAACGCGTACGCGTACGCGACGGTGGCCACGCTAGCCATATGTGGTCTCTTGGTATCCTTCATACTCAAGTACTTGGATAACGTAGCGAAATGTTTCTGCGCTGCGTTGAGCATGCTGTGCGTCGCGCTTCTCGATTCCGCCATGAAGTCCGAGACGATCCCTCTCAGCGTCGTACTCGGCATCGTGTTGACCGCTTTAGCTTTAGAACAATATAATCTTTCCTGATCGCCGGTACCGGTGGGTACTGGTACGAGTAACGTTTCGAAGACCCCGCGTGGCCGTTCGCGACTCCGACGTCGTTCTTCCTGAGAACTTCTTCCTAAGAACTTCTTAGGTCTACCGGTACGTACTATCAAAACCATCATCATAATACGCGTCAGAAAGTTCGCGCGCGCCGGGCCCGGGGACGCGTCGGCGCCGCCGCGACGTCGCGGCGCGCTCGAGCGCTCGAGCGCGCATGTCGACGCGATCTCGCGTCCCGATCGCGATCGTGCGTTTGGTGGTCCAGGCCGGGGGGGCGAAACCGTCCCCGCCCGTCGGTCCGGCGCTCGGGCAACACGGGGTGAACATCATGTCGTTTTGTAAAGATTTCAACGCGAAGACGAGCGAGCTCGTGAGCGAGACGCCGACGCCGGTGAAGATATCGATTTATCAAGATAAAACGTTCGAGTGGACGATGCAGACGCCGCCGACGTCGTGGTTGATCGCGAGGTGCGCCGGGGTGACGAGCGCGTCGAGCCGGGCGGGACACGAGGCGTGCGGGACGATCAACCTGAAGCACTGTTACGAGATCGCGAGGGTGAAGTCGAGGGATGATTCTTTGGGGCATTTGGATATGGAGAGTTTAGTACGATCGGTCGTCGGCACGGCGCGGTCTATGGGGATCGGAGTGGTGGACGGGCGGGCGAAAGCCTCGAGTGGGGTCTGAGGACGGAGACGCGAGAAGAGCGCTTCGTCCTGTTGGAGGTGCTTTTCGCGCTCTACAAATCGATTCGTGTATATATCTACCTACCTTTGTCACACCACACGTAGTCATCTAGTGTCAGCACTCACGCGTGCACGCGTCGCCTCGACGCGGCGTCCGCTTTTTCGAGGCTCGAGATGTGTGAGTAATACGATATCCCGCCGATGGCAATCGCGCCCCCGATGACGTTGTTCCAAGAGACGGGAACGTCGAATAAGAGCCAACCAAAGAAGAAGATGAACACAGTCTTCACGTGGCCGATGACCTGGAACGAGAGCGCGCTAAAGGTGCCGATGCACATGTACTGCGAGATGTTTACCCAAATTGCTAGCAAACACGACGCCGACAAAAACCCGAGAGACTCCATGGTCCAGTAATATTCCGTCACGAAACTTCCCGTGATGATTTGGTCCAAGAATGGACCGATCAATAACATCGCCGCCGCCATGAGTGGCGCCGTTCGCCCGAGCAAGTCATTGCTCGAGATCCCGTACTCGCTCTGCAGACGTCCGACCAAAATCTGTTGTCCGCTCGTCGCCAACACGGCGACGATCGCTACCAGAGTGCCCCAGAAATTCATCGACGTCTCCTGCACGGTGGCGATCCCAACGCCTAACATTACGATTGCAATCGCCCACACGAGCGCCCGAGAGACCGTGCGTCTCAAGAAGACGAACTCCATCATCGCCACCGCCGGAATTTGCAAGAGCTTGGCGAGCTGATAAAACCCGACGTGATTCAACATCAACGACAGATTGAGCGAGATGATGCTCGTCGACGCGACGGCCACGAACGCAAACAACTTCTGTCTCGGCAGCGCGCCGTGCGTCGCGGCCGCGTTCGAAGCCTTCGCGACGTCACCCTTGCTCGTGAATGCGCGCACGCTCGTCGTGCACAAAAAGTGTAAACCGCACAGAGTCGTGGCGTACTGAAACGCCAACCCCTGCGCTCCCATGAGCTGTTTGTTCACCATGACGATCGCGACCGAGCTCACAAAGTTACTCAGCCACTTCCCCGCGTCCGCCGCGCTCAGCGTAGACGTCATCTGTTGCGTCTTATCTCTCTCGAGCTGAAAACTCGTCTCGCCCGACGCGCGATCGAACGAATACACTTCAACGTATCCACCGTCTCGTCGCCCGTCGCTCGACCTCGAACGATGTAGACGTACGCACCGCGTCCACGCGCGTCGTCGATCGCGCGAAGAGACGGGCGAAGTGACGCGTCGAGCGCTCGACGCGCGCGTCGAGCCGCGCGCGTCTCCGGCGTGTTTCGTGGGAACGCGTTTATACTGTTCGCCCACACGAATACGAGTACGTAACAATCGCGACACGCGGACCCGGGGCGTGGAAAAGGTTGTTTTTCAATGTATCCATCGATCGGACCATCGATCGGACGTTCGTTCGTTCGTTCGCGTCGTACGTCGACGGTCGACGCGCGCGTCGGCGTCGGTGGACGATGATGACGGAGGATGACGCCGGACCCTCCACCGCGGCGCTCGTGGTGGGGCGAACGGAGTGCAAAACGCTGCGGGACGATCAGTTTGGGGTGGTTCGACGCGCGGAATCTCTGAGCGACGACTTCTTGGTCGATAACTTTGATTTTAACGGTCTCGGGTCGGGTGGGGGGAAGGGTGGGGACGTCATGGCGCGCACGCGCGACGGTAGGTTCTTCGTGAAGACGTTGAACGCGACGGATGGGAAATCTTTACTCGAGGATACTTTTCTTCGCGCGTACGTCTCGCGGGCGACGACGGGGCAGAGTTTGGCGACGAAGATCTACGCCGTGTTCGTCCATCCCGAATTGGGTAGATTCGTCGTGATGAATAACTGCGTTTCGCCCAGGGTGGAGTCTTGGAGTCGGTTGTACGATTTGAAGGGGACGGCGGACGATAAGACGCTCGTGAAGGATGGCGTCCCGGTTCCGCACGCGCACAAGAGATTTTATAACCTGAATCTGATCGTCCGTGAGTGGTTCTCGTGCTATCGAGACGTGCCAGTGCCGAGACAGAGGTACATCGCCGGAAAGTTCGAGGCGTTCGACGTCTCGCTCTTCATGACGAAGGATCAAAAGGAGGAAATCATGACGCAGTTGAGGAATGACTGCGCCTTGTTTGAGACGCACAATCTCATGGATTACTCCTTGTTGGTGGGGATCCAGCGCGTGCGCAGGGAGGATGTGGAGGAGGCGGTGGCGATGCGCGACGGTGATGTGCACAACAAGCCGTACGTCGTCGAGTACGGAGGTGAGATATTGATTTTGTATTTCGGCGTCATTGATTTTTTGCAACCGTGGAACGCGGGAAAAAAAGTCGCGCACGTCATCAAGAGGTGCTTCGCCCCGTCACCCATCTCCACCGTGAACCCAAAGTCGTACGCAAAGCAGTTTTTGGATCACTTTGAGTTCAAGTTTAAATCCGTCGGTTTCGAGTGGCTGAGAAACGGCGCGGGGCAAAAGAGAACGCCGCGCAAGAGCTCGGCGTCCAAACAGGTTCTGCGCCAGGACTCCTCGAACGCCGGCGCCGAAGAGTCGCCTTCCATGCTCCAGCGACTGAGATCTTCCGTCGCCAACGTCACCGCGTTCGCGACGGAGGAACCTTTGTGATTATGTATTTCACCCACATTTGTCAGGCAGTCGAGTCGTCGCTCGAAACTTTGCGCGCGCTTCGCGTTCACTCTACAGAGAGATTTTGCCTTTACAAAGCGCTAAAATGGTCCCCCGTTCGCTTCATCCGCTTAGTTGCCGAAGTAGCCTTGCTTGCGCGCTTGCACACCGATTTGCCCGAACATCATGCACGCGAACAACCCCATGTGCCACGTGAGCATGTATAACCAGATCGGATCGTCGGCGCTCGGGCCGGTGGGGAAGTGCGCCAAGTTTTCAGAGATGCGGTCGCTGAAAACCTTGAACAGAGACGCGTTGTCCGGGAACGCCGGGCACGGAGACGCGCTCGGAATCACCCAACCGAAGAGCGACGCGAGGTGCACGGCGACGTTGGACTTTTTCCAGTCATCGTCAAACTTCAAGTCCGCGTTCGCCGCGTTCACCTTGACGGCGAATCGCGCCTTGCTCTGCGTCTTGCGGCCTGGAGAAGAAGAGATTACGCGTCATTCAATCGTCAGTCGTCGTCACGCGCGCGCGCGTCGTCCACGCGTTCCGAACCACCCTTTGCCTCTACGACCGCACCACCGCGGGGTCGCGACCGGTGACGATCCCTCTTCGTTGGATTGCACATCCCTCGCGCGCGTCGACGCGACGCGTCGCGGACGCGATTCGCCCTCGAGAATCCCGCGCGAATTTTCCCTCGATCGCTCCACCGACGCGCATCGCCCGAACCCTCGACGCGCGGACGAACGCGCGGGACGACCGATCGCTCGTCCCGATCGTATCTCCCGTATCCCGCGCCCGTCCGTCGTGGTTTTCCACGCCTCCCCCGTTCCCGCGCGCGCGCGCGTCGCGCACCTCGAGCGGAGACACCGAGCGGAGATCGTCGCTGGACGTTGATCGGGGCGAGCGCGAGCATCGTGGTCGTCGAGTCGAGGTGTGCGGGATGCGTCGCGGCGCGTTGGGTGCACCACCGCGCCGTGGTCGAGCGTTTGCCCTGTTAGGGTTTAGTACTGCTCCATCGATATCGGTCTCGGGGCTGCCCTATGGGCTCCAAAATGTACGTACAACGGCGCCGGGGAGTCTTCGTATTCACGATTGATATACACCATAAAACACACCGACCCGCCCGCATCGCGGTGAGCTGCACGGTGACGGACAACACTTTTCAGGCACCGAGCCGATGACGTGCACGTGACACGCTACGCACTTCAATGGGAACATGACGTCATCTTATACATTCCTAGCGCTACTTGCCGGCTTCATCTCGCCGGACGAACAACACATTTTTTCCATCCGCGTGACGCCACACCTCTTCAAACGGACTGGACTGTAACGATACTGAATTATTGTCTCGTTCGCTATACGAATCCAGCTCGTAACCGTGATTACCTAAATGAAGGAGCGTCGTGCGAAGATAGTCCTGGCCTCGACCTTTCGCTCCAGAGGCGGAGTCCATGAGAGAGGACACCATTTCCATGAAGACGTAGCGAGGAGCATATTTTGACTCAAAGAATCGATTCCCCCCCGCGATAACAGCCGGTTCGAACCCCTCGACGTCGATTTTCATGACGTCTATGCGATCTAGGTGATCAAACGCACCGTCGACGAACGCGTCGTCCAGGGTGGTTGTGTTCATCCATCCCAAGGAGGCGTATCCCGCGCCGAGAAAATGTGCTCGCGTCTTTTCGTCGCACACCGCGTGCGTGTCTCCGATATTAATATGTTTCTGCTGAAACAGCTCACATTCGCGACGTTTCGTGTCTAATCCAATCTGGTGAAGACGAAACTTCTTCGCCGTCGGTGGAGAAACACTCTCGAGCGAGGCGCAAATCAAATCAACGTTACTCTGGAACGGCTCGAACGCGATCACGTCGTGGCCGAGGTGTAATGCGACCATGGAAAACCATCCAATGTTTGCGCCCACGTCGAGGAACGACCCTCGGGTCGTCCCATTCTTGTCCTTCGAAAGAAGTGACATGAGTGTCTCTGTCTCCGGACGCTCCCACGCGCCGCTACCTGATATTGAATCTGAAACGATGTCCCTCACGCCGCTCGTACCACCGTACACGAACATATCGAACTGCGTGTTGAGCACCCTCGCCCGCGTACTCTTTCCGAGGTGCTCGCGCGTACCGCCCGAGCGCGTCGAACACGCGTCTTGAAGCGCGCGCGATATCCGCGCGCGACGCGACGGTGCAGCCGTCTCGACGGCATCATCGTCCGCGATCACCACCTCGCGCGCGTCCACGTCTCCCGCCCCCGGCCCGTCGTCATCGCGCCGCGCGCACGGACGTTCCGCGGTGGTGGAGAAAAAACGTACGCGATCGCCGAGGAGGAGGACGGCGCAGATGGAGATCAAAACCACCGCTTGCCGCCGTCCACTCCCGAGGCGTCGCCACCGCGCGACGCACGCCGGGACGCGCAGTCGCACCGCCATCGCGCGCGCCCGTCGAGCGCGTCACCGTCCGCGGTCTCCGCGCCGGCGTCGCGCGGGGCGTCGATCGGCGTCGAGATCGTGACGATCTGATCGTCGCGGATGTAGACTGTTCGCCCACGCGTGGACGTCAAAAGGGGCGTCTAAAGGTGATTCGAAAGGTGACGCGCGAAACCCGTCGAAAGGCGTCGACCGGTGACGCGCGACCGGCGATCGACGCCGCGCGTCCTATCCACGACCG